TACAGAAGGCGAGTGCTCGGGCGAAGCAAGCGTGCTTGGTCAACATATTAAAGCACATGCCGCGCCTGAGAGAGAAGTGGCCATTGCCTGGGAGGTTTGACGTCACCCACACTGGGCACATCTCCGTGCAGAACATATTTGAGGCCACCGCGACCATTCGGTGAAAATGCATAGGAAACATACGTTGACAGCAAGAACAGATGATGCTTGTTTGCTCCGCTTGAGATTCATCGACGTCTCAGCAATGTGCCCGGCACGCGGGTGTGCTGGAGCACTCACTCCAGGCGTTGCCTGGAGGTGCGCAGCTGCAGAAATCCGAGATTCAAAGCGGCGAGGCTTACCCGTAGGGGTCAATTTGGTGAGCGTATTGCCACAATGGGAATGCGAGAAGGGGGTGAGGGCCGGAAGAAGTGGGAGGAGGATCATGAGGCGGAGGCGGAGGCGGAGGGCAAGGAGGAACGGGATGGGAAGGGTCTGTGGGGCTCTCGGGTGCCATGACGATCGTGCCGCCCTGGACGAGGCGGGGAAATCCTTTTTGGATCTTGACGAGCTGGGAGCCGATTTCCTGCAAGGCATCAAGCTTCCTGGAGCGTTACACAAGCGGGCTCAATATTCATGTTTGCTAGGAGAGGGTCAGGAGGAGACAAAAGAGGCTGATTTCTATACTCCGGCATAGAGACCCCGAAACAGCAACACAAGACTTGCCGGTCGTTGAAAATATGTTTTTGGGTCCCCAGATTTCAATCTATTTTAGGCGCCTTCCTGCTTCAAGAGTCGAGTGGCTTCACCTTTCCCATCCTCTTCAGGGGGCGGGCGGAAACCCAACTTCTTCCGACAGAGGGGCATAGGAAGGCACATCGTGTGTGAGCACAAAGCATGCCACGGGCACGGCACGGCACGGCACGCGGGTGGCAACGTTTTCGCATTCCAGACGAGGCCCTGCGCGGCCCCCGAGCACGGCACGGCACAGCACGCGGGTGGAAACGGGCTCGCACCCTCAGACCACAGGCGCCACACGGCACGTCACACGCGTGCACGGCACGCGGACACGGCACGGGCACGGCCCGACACGGCCCGACACGGCACAATGATCTGTTTCTTGGACTCAACGTTGGTGTACAGTGCCCAGTGTGCTGCTAGCACGGTCCCCAGTGGGGCCTCTGAGGCACATGATTGCGGAGGCGGGGAAGCATTGTTGCAACCCGTCTCTCCCGCTTGTGCCTGACCGTGTACGCAACTGTCTTGCCAGAAGCGGAAGCCAGACCGATCTTCATGTGATGCTCGAATCTATTTGCCATCCGTTCCCTAGAAGCGAGGCGACGCACGGCTCGGCAGACGAGCACGGCACGGGAACGAGATGCTTGTTGCATTCCAGACGCGAGGCGCCACAAGGCACGCCGAGGGGTGGCAAGGCACCTCTCGGCACGCGGTCGGCCTTTTTGCTGGCGTTCTGCCTTCTACGTAGGCTCAGGCGATCGCAAACGTGGATCAAGGGGGCGTGGATTAGCGACGGGTCCCGTTTCTGTGGTAAGTCGCGGATCTCCGCCGTCGAGCGAGGCGGCACCGGCCGCATTTTGGGAAGGGCGCCTCCCCCGATCCATGGATTTGGCGACCGCGCGCCGAATCCATGGATCGCTACTCCATGTTTGCGCGCCCCCGAGTTGGCGGCAAGTTGCACTTACGGCATCCCTTGCTTAGATAATCACAACGTAGTCGATCCTTCAAACATGGAGTTTGACCAGGGGTCGACCGACTTCTGAGGTGTAATGACCTCTGGACGTTCTGCACGCGTGTCTTATCATGTGTTCGGCCTCTTCTCTGTTCAGAGTTCTAGTTTTTTCTCGTCTTCCGGAATCCCTTTCTGTCAGTTCCGGTTGCACTCGAAGAGCGTGTCACGGCGCGTGTTTGCCGACGCTGAATCAATCTCATTCGTTGTATTGTGTCACTTCGCCAGACGTTTCGAATGGCATTTGGGAGCCAGTGTGGCAGCAGATAGAATTCAGTTGCAAACCAGCGCGCGCCAGGTCCTGGGCGAGTACTTCGAAGGGCACGCCCTGGGCACCCGTCTTTGCGATTTGACGAGGGGCTCCACCAAGGGGTTTGTTCCGTCGCAGTTCGCCAGTCAGTATTTCTGTCGCCATGGAGTGGTGGTACCAGGCCTCCTAGATGGGGTCGGAGTAGATGGGGTCGGAGGATCGCGCCGCCTCGCCGATGCATCGCCGATGCGACCCGATGTGCAGCCCGATGTGCTGCACGTCGATGTTGCCGATGCATCACCGGCGTCGACGATGCATCGCCGGAGTATCGCCGATGTATCGCCGATGCATCGCCGATGTATCGGCGATGTGGCGCGATCCTCCGACCCCATCCATTCCGACCCCATCTAGGAGGCCTCTAAGGGCAATGTCATGAGCTCGCTCGCGTGCGCGAGTCTTGCATGATGTGCGGCACTGCACGGCCGACGCTCAGCACACAGAGCCTCAAGGTGGCTGCGCCCGTCCCTCTCTCCTCGGCTCGGCATTACGATGGCCATCCAGCAGTGACACCACCCGGCGTGGCACGCACGCTTTCTACGCCCTCGTACGGCGTCTCTTTCCTCCGCAATCTTGGTAAACGTTGTGCTGTCCCCCCTCAATCGGAGGTGGATAGATCTCCTACCCTGACACGTCGATTAGCGAATTGGCTGTTTTCGGTTCGCGAGAGGGCGTCGCGGCCGTCATTTGCGCGGGTCCAGGTCCATCGGTTTCGGCCCTAGGCCGTTTTCACCAAAAGGGTGGTTTACTAAAGGGAGGTTTGTCCACCGCCGACTCAAGGTGAGTGAGCTTGCTGGCCAGTTCGTCGCCCCCTTGCTCCCGTTTCCCCTGCCTGTGGCTTGTTGTGCATATTTGTCGGCGCCGAGGCGCAACCGCCCCGCCCCTCGTAGGGCCGTCCCTCGTGACGTGGGGGCGTTGTGTTGTGTTGTCGTTGTTGTTGTTGTTGTTGTTGTTGGTGGTGGTGGTGGTGGTGGTGGTGGTGGTGGTGGTGGTGGTGGTGGTGGTGGTGGTGTTGCTGTGCTGCCCCCCTCAGCCTTCGTATCCTATGTCCTCCCTGCGGTTTGCACGACCTCGCTGCGCGAGGCCGGCACATCAACACGGCCCGTGGAGGCGTTGGGGCGGGAGCCCACGGAAGCCTAGAGGGAGCCAGGGCCTGGTGTCCCTTGCTGCCGCGCTTGTGAGCCGTGGCCCAGTCAGGAGGTGCCATGGCGCCAACATCGCAGAGCGGATTTCGCTCGGAAAACAATGGGATGGGCCCGGAGTGTCCTGGAGAATTTCGTTCCGAATTTCGAAGTGAATTTCGTGCCGATTTTTCCCAGGAGTGAAGACTACAAAAAATCCACGTGAAATTAACTTTGTTTTTCGCTTGCCGTTTCGGGTTTCACATTGACAGAGATCCACGAAAAACTCCGCTGCAACACGTCTGCAAGGTCGGTGCAATGAGAGGTGGAGGTCGACGATGACAGCGATGCGGGAAGAGGGGCAAGATGGTAATGAGGAAAAGGGGAACGAGGAGATGGAGGAGGCGAGGAGCGAGCAGGTGAGGGGTCCAGAGTCTTGCGGGGCTTGGGCGCCATCCGCGGCGGAATGCAGCGGGCCACCCGGAACCGAGCCCGCAGGGAGGGGGAGGCAACGGGTCATGTCGCTCGTCAAGGAAGCTGGCCTCTCGGATCATGGAACGTTTTCCTACAAAGAGTTCGAGGCGTACATGCCAGACGCTCAGTCCGCCCTCGATCTGTCTTCATTGATCCAGCTTTCCTGTCGTCGTTGGCTTCCAAGCTCCCCATTTCATTGGATCTCTCAGTGCTGGTGTGCAGTGTGACTTGCCAGTTCGCTGCGGCCCAGGCTGGCGCTCGGAAGCCGAGGTGTGACCAACCGAAATGTTGAGACTGGTGGCGGATAGTATGGCAGTGTTGACCGCGCATGCCACAGTTCCATCAAAACACTCATCAGGAGACGAAGCTCTCGCGAGGCGAGGTGGAGGCGAGGCGAGGCAGAGGCAAGGATACTCCCTAATCGGTGCTGCGCTGAAGGATTCAACAGCGGCATGTTGAGATCCAACAACATTGCTACTCCCCTCTGATCGAGCGTGGCAGTTCGCTCGTCACCCAGAGTGCTGCAACAGTGCTGGGGCGCCGCTCGGAACCCCCTTTTATCATAGCAGCACAGCTTACATCTTCGGCCCGCCCTTCGGCCGGAATAAGAGCGCCGCCAGCTGGATTGGCATTCTGCTCAATTGTTAGCCTCAATTCGGGCCACACATCCCAAAGGCACTGTGTGGCGGCATCCTTGTTTTGGCAAGCATGTGTCAAAGACTGAATCTGCAGTGGACCAGAGGCTTACATCTTCTCGGGGTAACGTTTTCCAGCCTTCCCGGCATTGGGAGAATAGCTGTCTTGATGCGAGTTTCTATGAGCCCCCCCATGTGTGCGCCAGAGTCGCCTCTGGCACCCAGTGTACACGGTCACCGCATCCGCCCAGATTTCCAAGAGGCCTTCGACGAGGAGGAGGCAGTGGTAGGCGAGGGCCGCGAGCTCCGCGCATGGCACCCGTCGGACTTGTCAAATTGACGCGGGCAGCACTATTGCCTTGACCGAGGAAGTCGAAAGCGATGCCCCAGCATCCCCTGGCGATCCGTGAGCCAGCCGAGTTGACCAGGAAGTCAGTGTAGGCCCGATGTGAAGATGAGGAGGATGTCGATGAGTTAGCGATGCTGAGCAGGAGGAGGAGGAGGAGGAGGAGGAGGAGGAGGAGGAGGAGGAGGGGGAGAGGGAGGAGGAGGAGGAGGAGGAGGAGGAGGAGAAGGAGGAGGAGGAGGAGGAGGAGGAGGAGGTAGGGGGGGAGTGAGAAGATGAGGATCAGCAAGAGGGGTAGATGGAGCATGATGATGGTGAGAAGTGAGGCTAAGGGTGAGGAGGGGACGGGGAGACGGATGGGTCAGGTCAGGGACGGACATGGAGATGATGGTGGTGGTGAGGTTGATTAGGAGGGAGATGGCCTCATGTTGCGTTTTGTAGGCTTCCCGTTCTGTCTACATGGTGTGTGTCATTACCGCTGTTCCAGAGTTACCAGAATGGGCCATCAGCGTCCTGCCACGGGGATCATGCGGAGGCGGAGGAGGATAGGGATTAGAACATTGGAAGGAGGGAGCGGCAGAAGGAGAGGAGGGTCACGAGGAGGGATGATGGTGCGGGAGGAAGGAGGGAGCGGGATAAGGAAGCGGATGGTGATGATAATGAGGAGGAGGCTGAGGAAGAGGGGAAGACATGGACGAGGGGGAGAATGAGGGCGAAGAAGCATGCGGACGAGGATGGAGTCGGAGGAGGAGGCGAAGGCGGAAGGGAAGGAAAGGAGGGATGATGATGCTGATGATGATGATGATGATGATGATGATGATGATGATGATGATGATGATGACGATGCTGATGCTGATGCTGATGCTGATGCTGATGCTGATGATGATGATGAGGAGGAGGAGGAGGACGAGGAGGAGGAGGAGGAGGAGGATGGTGATGATAATGAGGAGGAGGCTGAGGGAGAGGGGACGACATGGATGAGGGGGAGCATGATGGAGAAGAAGCATGAGGACAAAGATGGAGTGGGAGGTGGAGGCGAAGGCGGAAGGGAAGGAAAGGAGGGATGCTGATGATGATGATGATGATGCTGATGCTGATGCTGATGCAGATGATGATGGTGATGATGATGATGATGCTGATGATGATGATGATGATGATGAAGATGATGATGATGATGATGATGATGATGATGATGATGATGCTGATGATGATGCTGATGATGCTGATGATGATGATGATGATGATGATGATGATGATGATGATGATGTTGATGTTGATGTTGATGTTGATGTTGATGTTGATGTTGATGTTGAGGAGGAGGAGGAATAAGGGGAGATAGCGGAGGATGGAGGATGAGAAGGAGTGAGGAGGGACAGCGGAGGCATGACAGAGGGAGAGCGCAGGAGGAGGCGGAGCCGACCGCAGCCGGCGCACCGAGGCGAGGGAGCAAGCTCCTGTGCGAGAGCCACCAGGACGCCTCCGCCCCCCGTAGCCCGCCTCGTGCCCGGCAACCCTCCTCCTCCTCCTCCTCCTCCTCCTCCTCCTCCTCCCCCTCCTCCTCCCCGTCCTCCGCCCCCACAGCCCGCCGCGGTCCTGGCCCTCCCCTCCCCTCTACTCTCGGGCAGCGATAGAGGGGGATGGGCATAGGGAGAGGCATCGACCCCCAATCGCTCATGGATCGCCGATGGGGGCCCGGCAGCCCCGACCTGCCCAGGAAAGCGCGGATCCACTATCGGGAGCCTGTCGCCGATCTATCGGCGATGTATCGCCGATTCCAGGTCGATATGCCCCTATGCCAGTCCCCCCTTGCATCGTTGCTTCTCATCCACGCTCCCTTGGTAAGGCTTCGGGTTGCGTGCAGACGACCCCCCCAGGGAGTCCCGGCTGGCCTCAACATTCCCCCCCGAGTAGTCGGGGCCGGTCTCAACACGCCAACCGTGGGGCGCGGAGTGTCCGGGGGGCCCCGCGAGAGGCGGCGCCAGGGTGCTGAGACCGCCCCTGATTACCCAGGGGGCCTGTTGAAGCCAGTTGGGGCTATTCGGGGTGACTGTTGAGGCCAGCCGGGACTACCCAGGGGTGCTGGTGTGCATGACCCGAAGCCTTACAACCTACATTCCATTCTCGCTTATCGCCTCTCCTCCTGCCCTCACCCTCCTCGCACTCGCATGCTTCACCTCACATGTGTTCCCCGTTGCTCGATTCACGGTCTGCCTTCCTCTGGGAAGCGCTCCAGTGAAGGGAGATGGCTCGCAGACTTCCCGTCCTGTCCTGCTTTTCAAACCTCCTTGGGCCTGAGCATCGCCTTCACCCTCCTCGGGCCTGGGGCCCCCCAGCCTCTCTCCATTGGAGTCGCCTCGGGGCTCAGGAGGCGGGGGTCAGTGCAAAGGGGGGTCAGCCAGAGCGCTGGATCTTACAGGCCCTTGAGGGTGGGCAGAGCCCTGCGGAGGTGCTCGTGAAGCTCGGATGACCAACTTTTTGGTCCCTGGGCTTGTCCAGGGACTGTTGTTGGCACCTGCTGTCGGTGGATGGTATGCGTGGTCAGCATACCCCGACACAGCCACCTCTGTTCGACACACTAGGCTTGGCGGGGGGGTTTTCACTATAGCCTCTACCGTCTCCTACCGTACAAGTGAAAAGTCAGGATGTGTGTCTCACCACGTGATCAGAGGATGGGCTGGCATCCCCAGAATAGCGTCAGACGTTGGCTCCCTAACCCTGTAGGGGGGGCCAGAGGGAATTCACCGGGGGCCACAAGGTAGGACGGTTTGCTCCCCTACTTAGAGAACATGTGCGCCTGCTGCAACGCAGGGAGGATCGCCATCTTGGCGGTGACGGGGGAGGGACCCGCTCATCATCAGGGCAGCATGATGATCTGCTCTGCAGCAGGCAGGGACGCCACCTTACGGTTGACAAGGGGAGACTTGCGCCAAAGCAGGTCGGATCGCCACACCAGGGGTGACACGGGAAGGCAGTTGTCAGGCAGGCCGCGTCCCCCGGACGGGGCGGACCCCTTCGACTGCCGCCGATGTCTCCGCTGTGAGGTGGCAAGAGGGACCTGCTCCACAGGATGGCCGACCGCCACCCTGGCAGTTTCCGGGGTGAACCTGTCCACAGTTAGGCACACTTCCACCTGAGGGGTGACAAGGGGGCCCTGCTCCAAAGCAGGTTCATCGCCATTCTAGGGGTGACGGCTGGTTGGCTGCCCAGCAGGACTGCTCGCCGGCGTAGGGGTGTCCGAGGGACCTGCTCCATAGCAGTGCTGATCATCGCCATTCTAAGGGTGACGGTTAGGCGGCTCCCCAGAGGGACTGATCGCTGGCCTGCGGGTGACAGGAAAGCCTCCTCCACAGCGTGGCGGAGCGCCACCCGTGAGGCAACAGGTTGGCGTTTATTCGTCCGTAGAGCGATGACCGTCGTTCGACCGCGGTTCAAAATACACGTCGATCCATTTATTTGTGCCCAGAGCGTATTGGCCCCCCGCGCTCGCAAGCATACGCCAGCGCAGAGTGTTATTAGACTGTCCCACCAGCCGCGGATGCACCACCCGGCAGGCGGCCGCGCCCCAGCGCTTCGGTTCTGGTTCATGTTGCGCTCAGGGCGCACTGGCAATCCAAACGGTCGCCGCCTATGTGCGGTCGCCGCCGTTCCGACCAGGTAGACGCCACCGCAGCCTTAGCCTGCGTGCCCGCCGCGGCCTCCAGACGACCCCGTTCCTCCTGGAGATGCGGGTGATGGGCGGAGGCGCACCTGGGCGGGGTGATACGGGGCGGGGATGGGACGGAAGGCGGATTCGGTAAGATCCGTCATGACACGTTGCTGGCTAGCACTGAAATGCCAGCCTTCGCCGGCGCAGGCTTGCAACCCTCCGTCCTCCAGGATCTCCCCCCCACGCCCTCCAAGGGCTGGACCTAGGGAGGGGAGTCAAGCCTCGGTAGGACCACTAAGAGCGGGCGGCGAGGATCTCTGCACCCGTCTGAGGCGGACGCATTTGAGACGAGGTTCCTTCCTCACCTCCTGCCTCCACGCACGCCGAACTGCCAAAGAAAATGTCCCCTCGAGCTCGTGACCGCTCTCCAGAAACGAAGGGTCGTCCTCACTGCCGCCCAAAATTACGGACACGTGCGCTGGGCCTGGAGGGCAGGCCTTGATGCCCAATCAAGTGGCTGCACCTCCTGGGCCAAAGGCAACGGATGGGAGGAAAGACGGGGGAATAGGTATGAGTGTGGTGCAAGGGGGGGCGTGTGGGTTAAGAACCTCCACACCGCCCCCGACACCCCGAGGCCGTGACACGGATCCTGGCCTGGAGAAGGGTCTAGCGAAGTCCTGCCCTCGAGACGGGAGATGAGCCCGAGATTATGGCTCGAATCGAACACCCTTGTTGCTACGGATGGCCCATGTCACCCACAAATGGATTTGGGGATACGGTTCGAATCGAGCAACCCCTTTGCTACGGATAGGCAGGTAGACCCAAACTTGGGGAGCCCGGGATTCCGCGACGAATCGCGCCTCTGCTATAGGGAATCCGTGCTCCTGTTGAGCTTCCTGCTGATGTGGGTACCAAGCGTGAGTACGCCCGACGCTTGTCACAAGTCGTAAGCTAAGCACCCTTTGCCCCTCCTGAGAACATGACGAGTGATCCAGGACGGCGTGACTCTAGGCCTCCCAGATGGGGTCCGAGTAGATGGGGTCAGAGGATCGCTCCGCATCGCCGATGCATTAGCGATGCGGCTCGATGTGGAGCCCGATTTTCTTCGCGCTGGCGTCGACGATGCACCGCCGACATCGCCGATGCATCGCCAATGCATCGCCGATGCATCGCTGATGTATCGGCGATGCGGCGAGATCCTCCGACCCCATCTACTCGGACCCCGTCTGGGAGGCTTCCAGTGACGCCCGGTGACGCGTCCCTGGCCCGCCGCTCGGCCGTCGAGCGTCAGGGCCGCGGGGGCCGCCGAGATCGCCGCGAGGCCGTCCTGCATGGGCGATTTCGTCCATGCAGCCGCTGCCGAGGCAACCTGCGGGGCTTCCCACTGCCTCGTGGGTCGCCGGTGTTCCTGGGAGGGCGCTGGCAGCGGTGTTGATGCAGCTGGAGTCGCAGTAGAGCAGCCCTCCAGGGCCGTGGACCCCAAGAGGTACCCAAGAGGCCATCTGAATATCTTCACGGGGGCCTCTTGGAGCCCGCTCGGGGCAAAAAACAAGCCCCGAGCGAGCTCCCAGAAGGCCCCCCAGGGACCCCAAGAGGCCCCCAGGAGTGTTCCAAAAAGATGTTCAGATGACCACGGCCATTTGAATATCTTTCTGGGGGCCTCTTGGAGGCCCCAAGATGGCCCCAAACGGGCTCCACGAGGCTCCCGAGGACCCCGAGGCAGGCCCCAACAGGGGCCCTAGGCAGCCCCGACCAAACGAAGTGTGAGAACTGAGGAGACGTGAGTGTGCAGGACGGCTGGCCTTGCCGCCGGCCTGTGCTCTAGAGGCATTTGTCTTGCGACGAGGGCCAAGTCGCAGAATCGGCGGATACATTATAGCCGGTACTGCCGCCAGACAGCGCCCAATAGGAGACGAACCTTGGTAGCGGCTTGGCGTGAGAGTGTGCAGGACGGGGGGGCCTTGCCGCCTGGCGACGTCCTTGAGGCGTTTGCCTCGCAACGGGGGCAAGCGCGCAGAATATGCGGATGCACGCAAGCTGGCACTGCCGCCAAGCAGCGCCCGACGGAAACGACTTTGAGTCCAGGCCAATGTGAGCGTGCAGGACCGCCGGCCTTTCCGCCGGGCAACGTCCTTGAGGCGACTGCCCCGCGACAGGAGCATGCACGCCGAATCTGCGGACGCACGCAAACCAGCAACCAGCATTGCCGCCAGACTGCGTACAAGAGAAGAAGAGCCGTGGTATCACGGGCTTCGCAAGGGTGCGGAGGACCGCCGGCCTTGCAGTCGTGCTGTGTCATTGAGGCAACTCTTCACGACAGGGATAAGCGCGTAGCGACTGTGGACGCGTGAAAGCCAGCACTGCCGCCAGCCAGCGCCCAAAAGAAAACGAAACGTGGTCACTGGAGAGACACGAGAATGTGCAGTACCGCCGACCTTGCCGCTGGGCAACGTCCTTGAGGCATCTTCCTCGCGCCGGATGTGGGCGTGCAGTCTCTGCGGACGCATGATGGCTGGCGTTGCTGCCAACCTTTCAGGAGACGAGCCTTGGTGGCGGTTCGACGTGAGAAGGTTCACGAACGCCGGACATTCCGCCAGGCAGTGCCCTTGGAGACACGAAATTTGGCTCTGCCGCCAGCCAGTGTTCAGAATGAGGCAATCTTTTGGCTATCGGTGCCACGTGAAACTGTGCAGGACGGGGGGCCTTGCCGCCGGGCATCGTCCTTGAGGCAACAGCCTCGCGACGGGGGTAGGCGCGCATAGACTGTGGACGCACGGTGCCTCGCGCTGCCGCCAGCCAGCGTCTCAAACATGACGAACCTTGGTGACGGTTCGGCGTGAGACTGTGCAGAACCGCCGGCCCTGCGGCCGGGCAACGTCGGCGTCTGCCTCGCGACAGGGGCAGGAGGAGGAGGAGGTGGAGGAGGAGGATGAGGAGGAGGAGGAGGAAGAGGGGTGAGGCGTTCCGCCGGGCTGCCGACAGGGTGCACGGGTTTGCCGAGGGGGTCCACAGGGCTGCCGAGTGGGTCCGTAGGACAGCCGTGTTGGTCCAGAGGGATGGCGAATGGGTCCACAGGGCTGCGGGGTTGGTCCGTTGAGCTGCGGGGGGGGGGGCAACGGGGCGCAGCTGGTTTCGGCCCCGCCGCCCAGAGCACTTCTTGATATACGTTCCAGGGGCCTCCCGTCGCCAGTGGAACCAGCGCGCTGCATGTTATACCCACTTGCGCTAAGATCATTACTTGTCCACCCCGAGTAAGGGATGAGGGGTCCCGCGTGTGCTCGCTGCTTGCACGCCAGCGGATTTGTTATTTGCTTGCAGCGCACGGTCTGCCCTCTAGGGGACCGCTCGGGTTACCGGAGCCGGCACGCAGACTTCCATTCTTCCCATCCTTCCTCCCTGGCCAAGAGAAGGAGAGGGACCAGGGCGTCCTCTTCTTCTGGGCCTTGGTCCGCCACTCGCGTCGCCCCGGCCGACCGCCATTCGGAAAACTGGCCAGGGTCGTGACCACGAGGGGTTTGGGGTCTGGGGACTCGCTCTTCTGGCGAGGCGGTGCGAGGAAGCGGGTCCCGCGAGGGGCCGAGGGATGAGGGTCGAATGATGGATGGGAAGGACGTTTTGGGAGGGGGCAGGGGCGGGAGGGCGCTGGGGGAAGTGGGCGGCCAGCCGCTGCAGGGTCAGGAGTGGGGACAGGACCAGTCGGAGGACGGGGATGCTGAGCAGGAGGAGGATTCGGGGGAGGAGGTGGCGTGGAGGAGGAGGGGGTCGAAGATACCCGGAAGGAGTAGCTCAACATGAATCAGAGGGGCGTCCTGAGGAAAACAAGTCTTGATATTGTTTCACAGGTCTCGAGCTCTCGGAGCCCTTCCCTGCCATCGGGACCGTCAACAAAACGACTCGGGATGAAGAGCTGGTTCCAGGGGACAACCCCGGGATCCAGGGGACAGCCCCAGGGGCAGCCACCGGGGATGCAGGGTGCAGGGACGGACAGAGTGATTGGGAGACGGCGCGCCGATCGGACAGAGGAAGGTGTACGGCAGTGAGAGGAAGAGAGTGAGAGAGGGTGATAGGGACCGGAGAAGCGAAGGGCAGGGGCGTGGCATCAGCCGGCAGGGATGCTGCAGCAGAAGGACAGAGAGGGAGCCCCTGAAGTGAAGATCGATTTGGCGCCCGAGGAGTCGCGCATCGTGCAGCCGTGCTGCGTCCTCCAGTAGGGTGTGTTGCGCACTGAACTGCTTGGCAAGCGTAGATCAAGAGGAGGGGGCGAGCTCCAGAGCAGGCACGGGACCTGTCCTCTTCACTTTCTCCCCCCCGATGTGCACGTTTCATTGGTTGTGAGGGTTATTGTAAAATTTGCGCACGGGTCGCGTAGATATTTCACCCCAGAGGGTCCCGTGTAGACGCGGACAGGAGTGAGGGGCTCGTTCTGTGACTGGACAAAATTCTTCACGCTTCGCGTAACCCCACCAGCCCATCCAGCAACGATGCCCAGACGAGTTGCCTTGATGAGGGAAGTGGGGGAGCTTGCAGTGGAACAAAGGGCCAGGGAAAATACCTCAAGAGGAGGAGGATGGAGGATGATGATGAGGAGGAGGATGAGAACGAGGGGAAGGTGGAGGATGATGAGGAGGAGGAGGCGGAGGAGGAGCAGGGGGAGGGGAAGGAGGGAGGAGGGAGGAGGAGGAGTTGGCGGATGATGATGAGAGGAGAGGGAGGAGGAGGAGGAGAATGAGGAGGAGGAGGAGGAGGAGGAGGAGGAGGAGGAGGAGGAGGAAACGGGCGAGCAGGAGGGCCTCTTGGGATGTCTCTTGGGAGCATCCTGAAGGCCTTTTGGGGCTCTCTTGGGGGCCTATTGGGAGCCCTGGAGGGCCTCTTGGGGCTGTCGTGGAGGGTGTCGGTGAAAAGAGGGGGGTACTAACGTTAGTCACCCCTTCTGGGCCATCAAAATAGCATCTTGGGAAACTTTTGACCCCCTCTTGGGGCGCTCTTGGGTGGTCTTGGGGCCGTTTGGGGGTCATCTTGGGCCCCTCTTGGAGCTCTCTTGGGCCACCTTGGGGCCACCTGGACGCCTCAAAAACGCATCGGAAGCGCAAAGGCGAGAAGGCACAAATCATTGATTTTCCCTAGGTGTTTGAAGGATTTTGGCTTCTTGGGGATGTCCTGAGGGGTCTTTGATGGCACCTGGAACCGTCTTGTGGCCCTCTTGCGGCGTCTTGGAGGCATGGTGGAGGTCATCTTGAGCGATCTTGCGCTATCCGAAGCCCTCTTGGAGGCCATCTTGGAACATCGGATGCCCTTTTGGAGCCATCTTGAGCGAAAAAGGGCCCTCTCAGGACTCGCGACCCCCCCGTCCAGACCCATGGGAGGGGAGGGGGAGGGTACCCCTCCCCGAAGGAAAAAGGTTCTGGGGAAGAGGAAAGAAACATCTCGTTAGACCACTTACGCCCAGAGGGCTGGTGGGATTGAAGGCAGCGTTCTGGCGCCGGCGCCAAATCTTTTTTTGAGCAGCGATTCATATGCCAACGCCTGGTCCCTGGCAGGTAGCGGATAAGGCCAAGGGGGGCGTCCGCACAGGGTCACTGTCCGCTCTCACTCACCGCGTTTCAGTGCAGGCGGACTCGCCTTCTGCTCGAACCTTGAGCATTGTTGGCGGCCGCTGGTCGTGGCCCAACGAAAGGAACGGAAACACCGTGGCCGTGACCTACGAAATCCCTTCGCACTTACCCAGCCGACACACGTGCGACCTCAAGAAGACTAGCGTGAGCGGAGTCTCTTCACTCTGGCAAAGGTAATCCTCACGGCATACACGTTGCCAAGTGCCCCAGCAAGGTGCACCCTCTCTGACCTGCACGAAGGAGCCCACTGGCACGACAGACGACGGACGGATGAGGGACGACGACAAGCAACTGTCGGAGGGCGCGCAAGGGGGGGAGGGGGTGGACCTAAGACCGCGAGTAGTCGCTTCGATCGATTCACTCGCCTGAGTATCGAAGACGAGGGGGGGGATCCTCCCTCCGCCCAAGTATCGAAGACGCCTACAGCGAATCGCTGCCGCCTGCAGCCGTTTGGAAGCGCCTGTGCGGCCGAAGGTTGCGGCCAGAGCTCGGCCCAGCTATCGGACTGTGTGTTTCCCCCAGCCGTTGTGGGAGCCCTTCGGGAAACACCTGGGGGAGGAAGATGAAGAGGACGAGAGGGAGGAACAAGGAGGAGTACGAGGAGGAGGAGGAGGAGGAGGAGGAGGAGGAGAAGGAGGATGAGGAGAGGAGGAGGCCTCTTTGGAGCTTTTGGGGCCCTCTTGGGGTCTCCTGTGATGTGAGCCTCTCGGTAGCCTCTTGGGGCACTCTTTTGAGCCTCGTCGGAGCCTCCTGGGGGCCGCCTGGAGGCCTCCTCTTGGGAGCCTCCTTGGGCTTCTTGGGTGCGGGCGTTGTTCAATTTCCGCTCGTCTTGGGCGTTCCTGGCTCGTCTGACGTCGAAATCAGTCTCGTAGGCCTGTATGGTCCGACTTGGGGCCCTCGTGGGGCTCTTCAAGGCCGTCTTGGAGGTCATCTTCAGCGTTTTGGAGGTCTCCTGGGCCCTCGTGGGGCCGTCTCGTGGGCCTCTTGGGCCGTCCGGGGGCCATCTTGGAGGCTTCTTGGGCGCTCATGGGGCCATCTTGGTGGCCTCTTGAGCCGTCTTGGGCCGTCGCAAAGCCAAAAAGGAGCAACTGCCAACATCTTTCGCAAGCCTTTCTGGACAATTGCTGATTGTAGTGGCCTCCGGCCAGTGCCGCCGATCCGGGAGCGCTGCCGATGCGATCTGGTTGGTCGAAGGGGAGGTGGAGGAGTAGGTGGAGGATGAGGCGAAGGAAGGTGGAGGGAGGGATTGCCTCACGATGGCCCAATACGGCCTAAGCAGCCCCCAAGAGGCTTCCAAGACTGCCCAGGATTTTTTGTCATTGTCAGACGATGAGGCGTTTTTTTGTTTGTTTGTTTGTTTTCCAGCAAGGCGGTTCGGGTCGTCGTCGTGCGCCAACGTGCGTGCGCCCGTCTGCACTCCAAGCGGGCCGTGCCCAGAACTCTCGCGTCGCGAGGGAGGTCGTTTGCCATTTCCGGCCACTGGGGGCCCACGCCGGGCCCCGTGGGCTGGAGGCCCCAATACTGCCCAGGAGGAAGAGGAGGAGGAGGAAAAGGAGGAAAAGGAGGAAAAGGAGGAGGAGGAGGAGGAGGAGGAGGAGGAGGAGGGAGGAGGAGGGAGCGGGAGGAGGAGAGAGGAGGTGGGAGGAGGAGGAGTGGGGCCGATTGGGGTCCCCCTGAGGCCTCCTGGGGGGCCTCTGAGAGGCCTCGTGGGCTTTCTTGGGAGCCTCTTGCGCCAGAAGACTCGAAGTGTTGGGTCGGGTTCCCTCTCTGGGGCTTCTCTTGGGGCCGTCTTGGGGCCCTCTCGGATCGCCTTGGGTGCCTCCGAGGTAGTCCTGGAGCCTTCTTGGGCCGTCTTGGGGCCCTCTTGAGTAGCCTTGGGGCTCCTTGGGCAGTTTTGGGGCTCTCTTGGGAGCCTCTTTTGCCGTCTTGATGCGATCTTGGGGGGCTCTTGGGCCGTCTTGGAGCGTCGGAAACCCGAAAAGGTGAGCATGTCAAATTCTGTCAAAAACTATCAGAAAACAAACGATTTTGGCGTCATGAGCCCCTCTTGGAGGTGCTGTTGGAGTAGTGCTCTTGGGGCCTCTTGGGGGGCCTTTTGGGCGTCCTTCGGGCCTCTTGGGAACTCTTGGAGACGTCTTGGGCCGTCTTAGAGGCCTCTTGAAGGCTTCTTTGGCCGTCATGACGCCATCTTGGGCCGTCTAGGGTACATATTGGGACGTCTTCGAAATATCTTGCAGCAATCTTGGGCTCTCTGGCATCCGGGGTGGCACTCTGCTGTGTTTCCCACGACCCGACCCCCCCCCGGAAAACGGAGCACACACACCCCACCCCCCTACCCTGGCAGAGCCACCCCGGCACCCACCCCCCAGCAGAGCAGAAGCTCAGGAACTGAAGCTGAGGCTACATCTAAGGCTCTTTCAAGCTCACACGCCGGATCGGCGGATTTTGTGATTTTCGGGCCTTCCTTGATCATCTTGGAGGCCTCTTGGGCCATCCTGGTACCGTCTTGGGGGTCTCTGGCTATCTTGGTCCATACATCTTGGGACGTCTTGGGTACATCTCGGCGCGTTTTGGAGACATTGTTGGGCCATCTTGGGCTATCTTGAGGCCATGTTCGCCGCCTTGGAGGCATATTCTTGGCCATCTTGGGCAATCTTGGCCGTCTTGGACGCGATTTGCTTGTTTTTGGCCTCAGCCTTCCGGGTGGCTGGCGCGATTGGTTGAGAGCCATTGGGAACCTGTATAAAGAGCCCACACCACTAAGAAATCTGGTACGACGTGGAACCCTGCGTCAAGCCAAAAGGGAGTGGCGGATCGAAGACGCCTACGGCGAATCGTCGCCGCCCCCTGCCTTGTAGAAGCGACTACGTGGCCGAACGTTGCGGCCAGGGCTCGGCTAGGCTATCGGACGATGTGTTCCCCCAGCCGCTGTGGAGTCCCTCTGGGGAACACGAGGGCGAGAAAGAAGAACAGGAGGAGAGGGAGGAACAAGAAGGGGGAGGAGGAAGAGGAAAAGGAGGAGGAGGAGGAACAGTACGAGGAGGAGGAGGACCAGTGTAAACCCAAGAGTCACCAACGATGTTGGAATAATCCCTCCCCCCAAGCTCCCTCTTCCTAGGCCCCTACAACGTTTCATTTCCACAGAGGGGCCTGCCCCGCTGGAAGACAACCGCTTGAAGACCCTGAAGAATGCCAACACATTATTCCCGGCATTGCAACGCCACGGACGAACCTGATTGTTGCGTCTTGACGATCCTGAATCGTGCCGGAACGCCATTCCTGGGACCTCAATTCTGCAAATCATCGTAACTGTTGCGCCTTCAAAATCGTGAATTCCAAAAACGCAAATTTCGTCGATCATGGGATTCCGTGAAATTCTTACATCGTTTAACAAGAATGCGCGCGGCGCTAAGGCGAGGGCCACATTCTGAAACGGAACCGCCCTCAATCCGTGAAGCTCTTGCACTTGTTGAAACTAATGTGCGCGGCGCTTAGGCGAGAGCCACATCTTGAAAACGACCCGCCCGCAATCCGTGAAGCTCTTGCACATTTCGGAAACGAATGTGCGCGGCGCGAAGGCGAGAGCCAAATTTTGACATCCACCCGCCCTCAATCCGTGAAACCCTTGCAGCT